AACTCACTTTACTTTCTCTGGCGGAGATTAGGCGGGTAGTCTTGGGTGACACACATCCACACGCGTGGCCCAAATATAGATTCAAGAGAGTCAGTAGTGTCAGGCGCAATTCCTGGAGGATGTTGTGGGGAGTGTTCGTTTTCCACTGTACTATTAACGCCCCTGACCTAATTGAAGATGATGCTCACACACACTTGCCTATATGAGAGTGAGGTCAGGTTCATTTGAGGGGGTAATTGTGAAATCAGCATGTAAACTAGGACAATAGAACAAATGACAAAAAAATGAGGACAGATGACAAATTTCTTGATAGACTTTTAATACATTTAGACATGTCCTGCTGCATTCACAGATGTAGTGTGGTAGTCCAGCAGTTCAAGTAAATTGTATGATTTATGTTGAGGAACTGTGTTTTGTAATGTTTACTGTCTTCGAAAGTCATAATTTGGTGATGCTGAGTGTTATCTTCTTAGACATCACGCTCTGACGGTGTTCTGCATCATGGGTGTAACTGCAAAAGAGGCTTATGAAAAACACATGCATCAAATGTTTGAAGTGACGTCAACTCGAATGCACCCAAACATTCTTCACCATGTGACAGCTACATTGCACGCTGCAAGGTACAGAAAGCAGTACTCTCAGCCACTTAAAAATGCCATCCATTAATGTACAAAAATCTCAGTGAAAATGTTGGCAATATTAACACAGAAAGACCATTAGAAAAACAGGCCTAAATTATTCTAAAGGCACAATGCTACACAAAGCTTCAGGACCCCATTTTCCACATGGACTTAATTCTGAGGAACACTACATAAGATGCTGACAAACCCGCTGTTTGAAATAAAAACCCTCTAAACACATGGCATTAATATTTAATGGTGCTGCTTCCTCGGGAGGCCACTCTGGGCTGCAGCGCTGTGTCTGAAGGGAGACGGTATTAGTGCTGTGTGCTCTAGAGGGAAGAGCAGCTTCACACTAATGAAGTGATCAGGGCCTGAACTCTGAAGAAAGCTCATATCCGATTAGTGCGCAGAGATGCATGTAAACATGGCGAAGCAGCACGCGATTAGATCACTTTGTTAATGCGAGTCTCGTGTCACTAAACACAACAGCGGGGAGGCATGCAGCGTTTTGAAGTGTTTTGCTAGCCAACAACACATTTCCCATTTAATCACTTCAGTATTACAGTTTCTTTTTGACCCTCTACACAAGTGTTTTGAATTAAGCTGCAAACTAGAGGAGTTGTATGCAAGCTAATGGGTTAACACTATCCTCTGAGCAGCCATTAAGGTGCATGCATGTGTTGTGCAGCAGTGAAAACCACCTGACCTTGTCCACATCCTCTAGGGCGGGATGGGACAGCATTTGAACTTGGCCAGTAAAGGACAGGCCATTTGGATGTTATTAAAAAACATTAGAGTTCCTGAAGCCCATGCTACTCCCAAAGCCATCAGGTAATTTGAAAGAGATCCAGCCAGTTTAAGATGTGCAGATGTTTTCGCTTTAAAACTGGCATCTGTTTATGCAGACGCACTTTATGTTCGAAAAACCACAAAGGACCTCCAATAGGTTTTATGGAGCAGTATCAGCTCGAGCACTCAGCTTTGTAATTGTGCTGCACCAGGTAATGAGAAAATTGGTCACAAGCAGTGTTCCCTGTAGATGTAACCCGTAACATACAATTTTGCACAGCATGTGCAGTATCTACATTTATTTTTTTTGTCTGTACGGTGCTGTCTGAGCTCCTGTGCTGCTTTCAGGAGGTTTAATATGGTCACAGTTTACAGCCTAATTCATACACTGTAAGAGGACTAATACCATCTAAAAATACATGTGCAGACACAACGGTTTTCATTTAACTTCATACAATACCTATAAAATACATAAAGTACATTGAAAGTTAACTTGATCAGATTTTCAGTAGGCACATAAATGATAGCATGTCAATTTGTGAGTAATGTGAAAACAGTTTGTATTAAAAACCCTGTGTTTTCCTTTAAAATCAACTAATTCCAAGAAAATTTGGAACATTTACAGAATATTTTAGTCTGGCTTTCATAAAATAACAGAACTGAAACAGCATGTTTCTGAGGATGATTTCCTGATGAATGTAGACTAATCCTTGTTTGTGCTGTGTGACTAAACTGCAACTTTCAACACAACTGATCAAAGTATCATAATTGAAAAATGGAGGATTTGTCTGTAGCTGCTCCGGTCTGCTTTTAATATTACCTGTCAAACAACCTTCAGCCTCTATTAGAAAATACTGTATATGCAAAACCTTTCTTAAGTATGACTCAGTCCAGTTCTTAGGTCAGTATAATAATACTAACCATTATGTCACATTATCAGGATATTAATATATTCACATATCCATCATTACCACTTGGACATACAGACTGTGGGCAAAAATATTAAGAAAGGTACTGTGGTATTCAGTGAACAACATGTAGATAACAAGTAGAACCATTATTTACATTAAAAAAGCATCAGTGCTCCACATGCTGCTGTCATAGGTCATCTTCAACTGTGAGTAGTGCAAACTGGACCTTTCATCTTTCAGTTTTCTTCATAGCTCCCCCATGTTCAACTCATAGTAACAGACATTGTGGACTGTCTTTTCTTAAATGTAAACTTGTGTAATACAGAAAAAAGTCAGGGAAACACTGCACTGTCAAAGTATCAGAGGATTCTAGGTTTTTGTTTTGTGTCCTTGTGCAGTGACAGTGAATGTCAGCCTTGCTGTAAATAACAGCTTTTTGATGCTCGCATTATGTTGTTTTTGTTGTATAGATTTTGTTTTTTACATTTTCTGTAACTGATGAAGTTACACGGAGGTGGCAATAGAGTATTTTGCTTCCTCTAAAGTCTGTTAGTTGCCAGAAAACACAAAAACTTGGTAATTACCATGTTCACTTTTACATGTTCACTAACTTGGTCAACAAATTCATATAACTCACAAATTTGGTTGTTACCATTTGCTCCATTTTAAACCTTATTAACACATCGGACAATTTTATTTTTGCACGTGAATAATAAAGAAATGTATTTTACAAAATAGGCAACGTAATATGGATTGTGATGGTTCACCTTCAAAATGTTTCCAGTTCCTGCAAATTGACCTTAAAGCAGTGGTTCCCAAACTTTTTCCTGAAAGGACCCCTTTTCTATCGTTTAGTAAACTAATGACCCCTGACTAGGTGACATCTTTTAGGGATATTTCATATTATATTTAAAACTGTACAATGAACCCAAACAGTGAACTCAGTAACTGCAAGAAGTTTGTGTAAAATGAGTGATTTGAAGACATTTTGAGCAGATTATTTCCTCTTTAGGGAAATTTTTATCTGTATTTTGTCTATATTATGTATTTTTATATTTCTTAGCAAATTTAATACTATTTTGGGGGATAAATTCAGTGTTTTCTTGTCCATATTTGGCCATTGTGCTATTAGACAGTTTACTTTTCTTTACAGAGGTGAACCAAATGCTGAGTTATAGGCCTACTGTGTACAGTTTTTTTAAGCTTTCTCACACCCCTTAAAATCCAGAAGGCCTTCTGACCCCCTGTATACTTTGATGACCCCCAAGTGGGTAACCACTGCCTTAAAGGACCAGTGTGTAGGATTTAGTGGCAACTAGTGATGAAGTTGCAGATTGGAACCTTTTGAATACCGCTCACCATGCAAGCGTGTAGTAGAACCATGTAAGGTCCTATGTAGAGCCAGTGTTTGATTTGTTGATCTGTTCTGGGCTATTGTAGAAACATGGTAGTTCAACTTGGCAAACTCTATAGAAGAAGTCCCACTCACTCTGTAGATTTAGGTTGCGAAAACATAACAATTGTTCAGGTGATTAATTATACACTAATGAAAACATAGTTATGAATATTACATTCTCATAATGATAATAACAATAATAATAATATTCAGGGTAAAACCCTGTGTATAATGTTTTTGAGGAGTAAATGAATGCCAGTGTTTGTCTACTGTTCTACAGTAAAACACAACCCTTTGTCAGTGCTAAATGTGTCATGGGATTCACAAAGGCTCATGGGCAGTGTAGTAATTCATAAGGAAAAATAAACCATTTCTGAGCTACAGAGTTGGAACACATGATGTACAATGATAGCTCATGGTGGGTCTGCTGTACACATAAAAGTGAATTTCCTTACCATGCGCTTTCATACAGTGTGTCTCAGGGCTGCACTAATACAGTACCATTACCACAGTGTATAACTGTAACAGCAGGCGATGGCAGTGCTTCTGACAACTGCACTATAATAGTCTCCTTGTTTATAGAGTGAGATCACTCTCTTGGTCTTTATATATAATGGCAGAAAACAAATGTTTGGTAATCCAGAAACACTGTGCTGTGCGCCTGGGCTCTCACACTGACCTCTCTGGGAAACAGATGATGCTCAAGAACAATGTTGTCCTGTATACTGTTCTCACACTGACATAGCAGCACCATTTCCTATTATGTGACAAGGACATATTTCAGACTGAAGTGATCCAAACAGTGATCTACCACTTGAGAGAACTGTCTTTGAGAACAGAGGTCGAGGGGAGCGACAAGGACGAGTGTCCTACAAATGCCACATCCAACGGCTCCTGTGTTTCCAGTGGCACTTGAACTGAAATAGGCACGCTCAACAGGGGACAGGCTTCAAGATCTTTTTTTCCATACTTCAGAAAAACTATCATGTTGAAGCTGAAGTGCTTGCTGGTGTGTCAGTGTGTGTATCAACAGAGCAGCAGCGATGGAATTCACAGCCCTCAAGGCTAGTGTGTTGTTTGTGATGACAGTGCTCCCTTGCTGCATAGTGATTTGGTACTGTACAATTGAAATTCAAGACACTACATTAGTCAGACTGTTAAGGTATTCATTCATTCAGTATCTACAGTAGATGCTTATTTTAACAGCAGTGATGTTTTTGTAACAACCAAGTAAGAGGAGGTCAGGGATAAAGAAATTCATTTATTTTGAAATATATCCAGCAGAAAATGTATTTACAAGGGTGGTTTGGGATGCGTATGCATTGTTCAGTTATCATCTTTTCATCCTTAAAGCAGCGATATAAACATATAAACACCAGGTCAAATGCATAAACAGATGGATAATGCATATATTTATTGTCATTTTAGTATCACAAATGTTGCATATTACAGCATTTCATTTTATTTGTATTTATTTGTGAGCCCTTAGAAATCCTCCACTCCACATCCTGATCCTTGATTATCCAACCAGTTTCTTATCATACTAGTGATAGCATAATTCTGAAACCTCCATAGCCAACTCCAGGCAGTCACTTGTATCCTGACAGAAACTGCACAGACCACAATCCAAGTCTGTGAAAGAGTCATCGTTACTGCTGGGCGGAGACTCCGCTTTGGTGACGACTTGTTTGTAGTTGGGGCAGCAGTGATTGGCAACTCTCTCACAGCAGTCTGGTAGCATGTGGATCATATCGTAGAACCGGCAGAAGAGACAGTTGAGGACAATTCCTGCATAATCAACTGAGGGAGACACATACAGTCAGGAAGGACAATAAAAACATGTTTGCTTTATTGTATTTATTTTTTATTCAACAATAAAAATTTTTTGTTTCAGTTGGTCTTGAAAATAAAAAATAAAGGCCTCCCCTCTTCACACATTTGCAATGACCTCTTTGAGATGATGTGTGATGAATTGTGTTTAAACCATATCTTGGGACATAAATCATCTGTGCTGCTATAAGAGCTGCTGCTCCTCACTTATATCTTGTAAAATTTTAAAAGCCTCCTTTCCTTCCTTTACACATGCATAATTTAGGAAATCAAGCCTTGATCCCTCACAGAGAGACAAGCAAGAAAGCTGTTTGGAGACATAATCAATTACCAGAAGTCTCTCCTGTGTACTTTGCCAAGAGCATTTCTAAGTTGCGTTGTGGTTGCAATAAAACAATGTGCTATGTGTCTTCCCAGCAGCCTTTGCCAAATGGTACTCCCATGGGTGCTATAAAGCATTAGATCATCATATGACACTGACCATTTACAGACAGTTACTCACCGAAAACATATTGTAGGAAAGTCCTTATGGCTTGTGTTGCAAATATTTTAGTGAAGGCATAGCTCTTACAAGGCTTTACTTGTTTATATTTATAACTTTTTTTAATCTGCACATGGATTAAGATCAAAATACAGTTCACAATGGACAATCATGCTGATTTTGGAGAACATCCTTTGAGGTATTATAAGGACTTTACGAAGATGAATTATTCAGTCTTTTGACAATTAGGCTAAAGTCATTTAAATTTATGCTGTTACAGGAATCACTCATAGTTGATGTAAGTATATAAATGTGGCTGCAATTTCACAACACATTCAAAAGTTAGATCAGTTTGGGTCAGAGAGTCTGTAAGAACTGAAATATGCAAATAGGAAAAGTGTTGTTCAAGTTCACACTTTTTTGCTGGTGCACAAAAAAGGCAGATAACACATTGACCAAAGTGCAATCTCAGAACCAATCGTTTCAACTTTTTATTAGCTTTTTTAAAAAAATTTCATATGCAGATATCAGCTTGCGTCTCAAGTTGGTAATCGGACTGTAGACAATAACTAGAGCGAGAAAGAGGAAGTCTTGGCCCGAAAATCCATTATCCAGATATCTGCTGGACATGCCGGAAATATTGGCCGGAAACACTGGCCACTGTTACCACGAGAGGCTAAATCATTGTCAGATGATAGCCGATGGGTTCTGAGATTGCCCAGTGACCTATACCAAAGACCTGTGGTGACTGAAGAACAGTCTTTATGCTAAGCTAGCTAACTACGCACAGACATGAGATTGACATCATCATAATTTCTCATCTCTTGGAAAGAAAGCAAAACATTTCCTAAAATACTGAACTATTTCTTTAATAAAAAGCCTTTATCCTTACTGAATTACCAGCTTATTTAATATTAATTTAAGTGCATAAGAACACAAACTGTCTGTGGTGCAATCACTTATGCTGCTGCATCTACAGTAGTGAGTCTACTTTGGTGGCCATTTTTTTGCATTAGTTTTTCTCTTTTTTGCTGTAGTTTCAGTTTCTAAATTATTCACACATTTTCATAATTGATTATATGAACTGTATTTAAGCATTCTCACAGCATGGTGAGGCATAAAGCTTGCAATTTGTCAAATTTTTTATTCTGTCTGTGGTCTGTGGCATTATTATTCTGCATATTAATCATCATTTATTTCATCAGTGGAAAAGCTATGAAAAAGTTAATTTCATAATTCATTTTCTGAACACAAGATTTTTTTCTTTCAGTGATTTTAATGTGTGTTTGTCAAGAAGGCTTTGGGAACAGACCACAACAGCTGTGTGTGCAGCTAGAAGGCATCCGACGGGTGCGCTGGTGTGCAGGTGTCACTAACCTCCCATGTTGCTCTGATGAGAAGACAAAGAGTCTGTGGTGGAGGATGCTGCAGAAGATCTCCTCAGGTACATTTTCAAAGAGAAAAGTGGGGAAGAAGAGCTGTTGCACACTGTAGGTTGCTGAGTGTCTCCGTCTCTACTGTTCTCCACAGGCACAGTTTCTGCAGAGGCATCAAGTCTCCAGCTGCTAACTTGAGCTTCACTTTGTATCCTTTCTGTCCAAGTGACAAAAGATGTTAAAGACACATAAGTTAGTAACAGGTGCAATTTGTTTATCTGAAAAATACAACTTTAAAGACCCTAACCCCAGAATGTGTTAGTGTAAGAGCACAGAGCCTGAAACCTAATGGGCACTAGTGTAACTGGCCAGATTTTTAGATACTTTTGGATTAAAGCTGCTGATTCAAAACAAAATGAAACAACACAATACAATACAACAGAATACAAGAGGACAGAATTCAGATCGTTGAATAGGGTATTTATATGATAATTGTACTAGCTAGTACTAGCTAGTACAATTATCATATGCAACAGTGCCACAGTTTTTATTTTTATAAACATGCAAAGACTAGTGAGTTATTGACTTTATCTAATGACTATAAGTCGACCAGGAAAATCTTCACTCGGGCACAGCCCTAAACATAACATAATACAAAATTTTTATACAATAGGGCGTGACACGACACAACAGGAAAGAACCTCCACATCATATGCGATAAACACAACAAGACTGATATCTGAATCTAAATGAGTTAACTCAATTCGCAAGCGGCGATGAATCCAAAATGTTGCCTCTGCACGGTGCATGCAAAGTTGTGAATAAGAAAATGAGCACTTCAGTGGTGTTACTTTCGTAGCTTCTGAAACTGCTGATGAGCGACCATAGGAACACAATGAAAATTAATAAAACCTATAGTGTTCATACTGCAGTCTATGTGCTGAAGAAACTTCCAGGAAATCAGAATGTGGAGTTAGGTTGTGAAATTTCTGGCGTGCAGGAGTAGATCTGTTTGTTAACATCTGATTTAAATAGATATTAATGAATTATTGCACTGGCTGCAGACTGTTTACCTTTTCACCACCTATTCAAAATGAATTATTCACCATTCCTTTCTCTGTTTTATTAAACATTTAATGCCTAATGATTTATTCACATGCTGGACACATTTTTGAAAGTTGAATAAACTGTATTTGTCTTACCTAAATTGTTGAAAGAGAGATACAAATGGACGTTGCTCAGGGCTGTATTGGCCAGTTTTAAGATTTTATTAGCTGTTTTTTAATACGTATGAAAAAGTATACAGAATACGAAGTTCAAAACAGTCTCTCTTGTTATCACATTTCGTCAGCTTGTGGTCTCCTTTTATCACTCATTAGGATTGTCTGTGTTTTTATCTGTCATTTCTCAGTGATTGAATGCGAAGTGAAGAAGGCAGGGATTGGTATTTGAAGCACAACAAGTTAAAATGAAATTCGAAATCAGTGCTGACTGTGTTTGTTTGAGCTGAGAAGCAGCGTGATGCTCCCAGGTTATCTAATGAATTAAGTAAGAAGTAAAGCTGGTCCATGCCCATGACCATTAGCTGATAGAGAAATAAGGCCTGCAGGCATACTATGCATTTTTCAGGTTTTGTTGCTGTGTTTCACCGAGCCACGCACACTCATTAGACACCACTGTTTCTAGGAGTGGTGGATCTGACAATAATTTCACTTCATGTTTTAAATCAAAATGCAGATTTGAATTTGCAGCACATCAGAAGTATATGGAAGGAAACATCTACACAATTTAAAGAATATATGCAAGCAAGTGGCTGACAAAATCCATTTGTTTCATTGCTGCAAAATGTGATTTGTTAGGGAAATTGTTTTGCAGTTTATTTTTTTATTTCCCAAGTTAAATATACTAGTAAGAAATTGCCAGGCACGGGAAGGGTGACACTGACTACTGCACATTATCAGAACACAAATTTACAAGAAACACAGTGACTCAAACAGACCTGAGTCACATTCACTCACCTCCTCTCACCCACGTAGAGCTCTCCTCAGCAGTGTTTGCTCTCCCTTTGTCTTTCACATCGGCTCTCAGAGTCATTTCATCTGCCATCTGGTCCATTGCATCACAAATAAAAAATGCACTTCGTATGACAAACCTGATTACCCCAAGCCAAAAATATGGGGCTGCACACAACTGGGGCCAACGTGAGTTAATGTCTAACCCAGTGTTACCACAGCTCGGTGTCTTCATACACTCGTTTAGCTCTCTGGATTAGGTTCTCATGCAGCGGGGCTGAGACATAGTCTTCTCGTCCTAGCTGTGGAGGCAGCTGTTTACCTCGGCAGAGCAGAGAGCATCCAGCACAAATTATCCTTTACATTGCACAGGGTCCATTTGGCCTGCTGCCTACTGTACAGTAAGCCTCTCCAATGTTCCAATGACGTTGGCAAAATGCTGGAGATCCGCTCCTATGAAAACATCACCGGGGCAAAGTCAGCAACATTTTATTAGTTTGAGTTAGTTCCCTTTGTGAAGTGATAATGAAGCCAAAGGCAAATGCAGAGCATCACGCAATAAAAGGAGATATCACATTAAAACTGTAATTCCCTGTACAAATGCATTATTAAGCAATCAGGGCACACTATAAAGAGTATGTGATGTTACAGTAATGTGATAGAGATAATATAGGAGATAGAAAAGTCACTGTTTTGCAGACTATGTAAAATATTTGGCAGATACTGAGTATTTTAAAGAAAAAAGCATACATTTTGATACACACTCACTCATACACACACACTACATCTCAGTCACTCCTTCAAGGCTGTGATTCTGCTGAACATATGCATGAGGCAGCCAGTGCCAGTTTGTTTGTTGGGGCGAAACACACGGTGAAACATGGATAGTGAGCTGCATTCAAATTTCTCCGAATACAAGCCAACCAATTTACTCTAATTAGGCTCAACACTAGAGTTGCATTTTAATAGATGCCCCGCTGTGTTTGCATATGTTTAGAGAACAAGAGCCATGCTAATTGAAAAATTAAGATGTGAGAGTATTTGTCTACTGAGCTCCCACTATGCTGCATTCAGTGTAAATATAACTCCTGAAGAGAACTTCCACAGAGAGTTTCTAGTGCTTTTCTTTCTTCCATCTCCACCTCCTTTCATTTTCCTTGTGTTGTGATGGTGATACAATGTGATGGAAAAAAGACAAATCAAGATTGTGCTCTTGTGTTCTTCAAAAGGCCTCCGGCGAGGATGTGACAACACCATATTTCCACTCTGTGGTCTTGTTGTTTCTCACTGACACAGCAGGTTTTGTTTTATTGGTCAACGTCAATCACGCCGTCAGAGAGGTTCAGCGGGTTGCGTAGTTAATTTGGCTCCTGTGGAAATGTTCTCTCTTTGAAATGAGCTGTGTGGCCCTGTGTCTGCAGAAAAGTCACAGTGGCTGACACTGCCCATTAGAGCTTTCCCTAATGTAGAGGGACGTGACAGCCTGAGATCAAGTTCAGGTACAAATTACAGTGCATCTAAGTGAAAGCTTTCTGACCCCCTTCACAGCACTTACAGTCCACTCCATTATTTACAGATGTAAACAGGTACTCATACACATCCAGCTGTGCTTCTCATCGCAGCTTCAGTCTTGCTGTGCTCGGGGGGAACTGTTACTCCACCTACTCCATCTTACTTTCCTTTCGAAGGAATTTACCTTTTTTGGGGAGGGAGGTCTTGCTTGCTGTTGTTGAGCGGAGCAACCACAAATATTAAGCAATGATAATTTGGTTATAAGCATAAAAAAGCAGAGCATTCCATTAGCGGAGGCGGGTCATCATATTTTGAATCACTCTTTGCATGTTTATGCCTTAGTCAGATTTCGGTTGGTGTTTAGATTCTGCTTGTGTGCCACAAAAGCCAGAAGGTGAACTAGAGTGTTGTGTTTGAAAATGAAGAGCAGCAAAGCCACATATCATAATAGAAGAACTACTGGTTTGGACGACAAGAGCAACGAGGCGTTCATTTAGCGACAAAAGTAGTAGAGTTATAAATTCATCCACATGAAATACAATGCCAACAAAACCAACAGTGCTTTTTTCCCATTAGCCTTGAGACTACCACAACTCCTTTGGGACAACACACTCACATTGTAAAAACTCAGATCGTTGGTTTAGGTTAAAGTAGGTCATTGTTAACCATAAAATGCCCTAATCAAAGCAATAACCTTCATCTTGGTAATGCACTGAATACTCAATGCTTGTTGCAACATTAAAAGACACATGGTAGTTTCAACTCTTTATTGTGAATGTGACGGTTCTGTGTAATTTTTTTCCTTGTTTGTTTGTTTTTCAATATAATATGGCATATAGTTAAATACAGCAACAATTTTGTGCACAAAGTGAAAAAGTTCCATAACTTCCCATCAACAGTTCCTATCAGCTCTATTGAATAAATGGTGGTATTTTCCATTTTTACATTGTCTTGAAATTATTAGAAACTTTAGCACTTCAGATCATGATATCTGTCTGATCATCACAGTGTATTATGTGCTATAAAGCAAAAAATCTGCTGCCTGGGAGTGAAAGATAATTTTTTCTGTTGCATTCACATCTAACACGTTTTTTCATTTATCATTTTTAAGAACATCCTGCAGCTGACTTACTTTAATGCTGTATTAACAAAATCTGGTTCTGCTGAGATCGGTATATTTGTCACAATTTAATGCAACTTGTATTGACACTTTCACAATTTGTAATGTATCAAAAACATCCCACATGCACTACCTGAAATATCCATCAGCTGGCTTATTTGCAGGACATTTTGAATGCAGCATCAAGGCACAATCGAATCATGTGAAAGTCATACAGAAAGTATGTTTCCTCTAATTCTGCCATGTCCAGATCACCTTGGAAGGGCAACTTAGCATTTGCTCCATGCATGTGTGTGGTCTTGGCAGGTGTTCTGTGGAATTAAATGGAAATTGTGACTTTTTTTTTTTTTTGGTTTTAGTAAAATGTCTTAGTTTGTTGAACATGCTGCCGGTGCAGAGGTCCCCTTTGCCCCTTAATGAGTTCCACAGAGAATAAGTGTCATAGTTGGCTCTGGTGATGAGAGCAGACTCCCATGTCACCTTGAGGCCGGCTAAGACAAAGGGAAGATGACACTTGATGTCATATTCACTCTCCCCTTTTACACATGGTTAACCCTGGTGGGCCGGCTTTATTTTTATAGGCAGATGTCACTGTCCTCTGATAGATAAAAGGAACAAATCTAAAATGTGAGGGATAGGAAAATAAACATTTGCAATATCTGATATAAAATGAGACCATATGGTTGTCAAACAGTTTCACACTCATGCTTGTTTGAATTATTATTATTTATTTAATAAGTACATTTTTAAATCATAACACATAACACACATTTAATTTCTAGATAATGATACTATTAACATTTCCAGCAATTCTTTGTGTTGATTTAAGCACTAACTTTTACCATCAGGTTTTTGGAAAACTTCAGCGCAAAAGAGACGGAAACACTTGCTTCCAATAGCTATTTCCTTACAGGATTAGGTGATAATCCTGAAAAATCACCCCTGAGAAACTGAGCTGTGCTTGAGAAGGGATGACATATGAAATCAAAGAATTCCTTTCTGATGGACCGACTGCTCTACTATGGGTAAGAGTATACATTTCTGCAGTTATTCATGGTCTTCATTAACTACCACAGAGTGTAGCAGTTTGTACTGATCCACTTAAAGCGCTGTACCTTAAAGCAGAGCTCACCTTGTGAGCTCTGGGGAGTGTTTCTGCTCAGCCCATTAAGAACACAATAATTCATTTTCGAGATCATTTTGCTCTAATTGAACACGCCTGTTATATTCAATTTTTTCAACATCTTTAAGGACACCTGCCTACCTTTATGACAGCCAAGCAAGGGGGGAAGAAACTCCTGCTGCTTGTCACAAAGGGAAGAAATCACAGTTTCCAAATTAAGATTGCAGATAAATGACCTTACAAAGCAAAAGAAATCAAAGAAGTATGGGAATGGGGTAAATTGGATTCTTTGGCGTCTAACAGTATATGACTTAAACCAACTGGGGATTCTCTCCACAGTGGAGGAAGTGAGAGTTTCCTGAGGCAACAGTCCCACCTGGGACCTCCCGATGATCCATGGGGTGTTCGTAAAAAGCCTTGAAGTTATTCAACCCACTAAAAGGCTAAATAGATTTTTTTTCTATTAACATTTAGGCTGTATTGCTCTGATTTCAGAGCTTCTATACTCTGGTTTCAGGCAATCTATTTTATTTTACTCAGTCAATATTCTGTATTTAATTTGCATATCTGAAAGTTTTGTGAATGTCTTAGGTCTTATTGTATGATGCCAACAATGATCAAACAATAATAAACCTTAAAAGCATTTGGTCAAATCTTCTGATTAATGAGCTTGGTTACATGTGTGACTTAGAATATCTATTTTTAATTATATATCTTTCAAATATTTGCTACATCAATGTACAGTAGCTGTGCAACTTACTTGGATGTTCCTTGTAACTAGGGCTAGGGACAATACCTGAGTCTAGAAGACACTTATTTAACAAGGAAGCTCTCCAGTGTTAAATGTAGTCAAAACACAAGGAGCTATGCATTATTTTTTCCATAATAAAATATTCTAAAACTGGCAAAATTAGGAACTATTTGTTCAGTCAGACTAAGAATATATGCCAGCTTTATGTACTTTCTGCCTTTGATACTCAATGCTACAGACTTGTTCAAGTCTGTAAACAAGAATAAAGGATATAGGTTTGATATTCAGCCTTATTCATCTCAGTATCAGATATAAATAAAAGTAAAGCTTTTTGGCTACTTGGGGGCTGCAGAACAAGTTGAAAACACATTGATTCATTATCTCCGAACAAAGGTGGTATGGCCAGCATAAGCAAACCATTGCGTAACAGGTCCAGCAGACAAAGAGCAACATTATCATTCATTGGGAGCTGTCTTTCTGGACACCTGCCAAATGTACAGTAAGTCCAGTACTTACTCTTATTTGATCTCTTCTGGCTTCTTAGGGGAAATATCCACCTTTTTACCTGCTGAATACTTCACAAGCTTGCTCACTGGCTGCTAACTTTGCCTTTTGTAGTTGTATTGTCTTTTTTTTTCACTGACAACTGTTTTATGCTGGTTAAAAGAG